GCAGATCGATAGATCTATACAAATTTGAAATCCATTTTTTTGTAAAAATTACAAAATATACTATTTCTAAATCTTGAAATCCATTTTTTTGTCATGTCCATGCATCTTGATGTTGAGATGATCAATTTGAGGATAATTGGGCATGAAAACAACCTCTTATAATGAAGTTTTTGAGGTAAGCTCTAATATGACTGTTTAGAGCCTCAACTCTATATAAACTTTTTCCTTTTGAACTGGCAAGTGGGTTTTTAAGGTATCACAGGGAACAGTGGGAACGGAAGCCGAAATGTGCCAGTAATGAGGTTGGGACTCAAAAACACTTTGACCCACATGCGAAGCCCAAAACGAAGCATGCATTTTTCAAATTTTATGAAAGTAACTTTCCCAACGGTCATAATTCTCACCTTGATTTTGAAACTTATTATATAAAAGGAAACGAATAATTGAATTACAAGAATATCCTAATTTTCCCCATTAGCCACTAAACAACAAAAGATGAAAGACTAACGACTTCAACGCCCATCTAGCCAAACCGGTGCACTTTGACAGAGCCCAAAACCGGCCCCGCAACATCATTGGCCACAGATTTTAATCGCCTAATCCGACAATTAAGAGTCGACATTGGCCACATGATTCACCAGAGAGAGAAGGGCAATGTCATTTGATTTTGTGATTGAACCGCCGTTGAAGCAATTGCAACTTCAAAATCTTGTCAAAAAACACATGTAACCCCAAGTAGTCCAACGCATTCCCCCAAAAGCTGCTCTTTGCTGAATTGCATTATAAAGCTGTTGAAATAGTCACGAAGCTATTGGATAGGATCAAAGAATTCGGTCGGCAAGTGATGGAAATCGTTGGAAAAAGTTCAAAACAGCCGGTGGTGAGTCTCCTCTGAACCGAGGGTGCCTGAAGAAATAGAGCCCCAGTCCAATTGCTACTACCTTAGATGGTATAGCATAAAGCACACCTGAGACCCCCAAACATGCAACCACAAACATCAATGTGGCACGCGGGTCCCGCCAATCGAGCAATGCTTCGAGCCGCTCACCAAACCCTGCTGCCTCACCCAACAAGGTCTGGGCTCGCCCAGCGACTGCCCTCAGTCTATCATATCTCACCCTCACCACCTCAGCCGCCCTATTTGCAGGAAACCCCTCAAACTCCTCGTCAAGCTCATCTAAACTGACCAAATCAACACACGATAGCCGAATATCTATATTTTCAGGCAGGTTTCTCCTGTATCTGTACCTCCACACCCCAATAAAGAACAAATACAGGAAGAATGTTGGTAAGAACAGGTTAGGGAACAAGATGAGAATTACAAAGAGGACATGCACCAAAATGGTTGTATACGGTTGGCTCCAATATCTCACAGAGTCGAGCCAATGTGCTAAGGCTGCAAGCTTCGACAAGCTCGAAGCCAGTCTAAACCAGTGAGCCTTGGTCCTACGCATGCTCCAAGAGTTGGCGTCAGAGTCCAGTAAATAGTGGACAACTTCCGGACGGAGTGGGGGCTCTGAGCGAGAGAGGCGGACAGCGAGGGTGCGGGCAGCAGCATGGCGCAGGGCATCCGCAAGAGGGAGAGGGCGGGCATAATGCATACGGGGAAGAGGGGGAGTGAAGTAAGAAGCCATTAGGGCTGGATAAGAGGTGCAAGAGAAGCGCACTGCAAGCTCGAGCTCACCCATTTTCTTGGTTCCACCAGGTTGAAGCACTGTGAGTGTATAAGAATTCGTATATACCCTGTTTGTGTCTAGCGTAGAAAGCCGGATACGTACCTGAGAGAGCAAAATATTCAGGGATAGCAACCAAATAAAACCAGAAACCGAAGAGAAGCTAGTAAAATGAAAGTGAGGGGCTTGAGCTAGGTAACTCAATCAAATCTCTTTTTTTTTTTCATTATTTGCACAGAACTGTAGTTGCATAAATGTTGTTGTGCATAAAACTTTAAAACTTCAAATTTACAGTGCAGAATTCTTCCAAGGATTTAGTCTCTGTTTTTCTAAAACTAATGGCCCCTTTGGATGCTGGTTGTTTTTAGTAGGTTTTATTAATAAAACATAAGCTTCCTCAAACACAGCCCAAAAGCAAGTTTTCCCAAAACTTGTGCTTTAAAAGCCTGGTCTTTCCTTTTAGGCAAATAACCCTTAAAGAGAGAAATTGCAAACTTCTTAAAAAACAAATTACATGAAAACCACAAGGAACACGGTCGATGCGTCTCGGGTTCGCCTAAAGCCAAATGACCCCTTAAGGGGAAAACTTATTTCATGTTTCCAATACGCTCTGGAAAAAAAAGATAAATAATGTGAAAACCAAAAGGAAATCGTTTGATGTGTCCAGACTGCACCGGTTGTTGTTGCGGGACCTGCTGCACCATCCATTTATATTATAGATGGTGCAGATTTTAATTTCAAATTTGATTTTTAGGCACAGTTTTCACTGACCATGGTGCATATTTTAATCTCAAATTTGATTTTCAAGCGCAGTTTTCACTGTCCAATACAAACTAAAGGAGCAGGTGTTAGGGCCTCCAACAATAGGTGCAGTCCGGTTCCAATCCACCAAAATATGGTCTAAAAGCAATGATTTAAAAACAGATCGGTGACATAGGATTAAACATTCAAAAAATTGATCTGGACTGGTGAATCGGAGGTGCATGTCGCCATTTTTTTGGGTGAAAAAAAAAAGTGAACCAAAAAACAAACACGTGAAAAAATAGTGAACCAGACAAAAACCGATATAGATCGGTGAATCGACGATCATAATTGTGTTTTACTAGAGAGAATCGTCGTTTCACCGTTTAATTTTATTTTAAACTCAACTGTTTTTCTATACATATATAAAACAAAAATGGAGAGACCGATCCCAAGTCGGACCGGATGACCCAACTTACGGAACCCAAATGAAAAGACTGATTCCCGAATCGGACCGGATGACCCAACTTTTAAATCACTTGTCTAAAGCAAATTGTACTAACCTTGCCTATACGTGTGTCCTTAGAAGCTCCCTTTCCTTCATCTTTCCCATACTGTGCATTATCAAACACGCCGAGAGTAAGAACCGTAGACGGATCGTACACCTCCCACGTATACTGTTCATTCCACCTTGGGCTAAAATTGTCCAAAACGGTCCTTGTCCGTACCCACTTGGTTCCGTACTTAGCCACGCAATACGCATCGGTGGTGCCACGTGTCCCGTCCATGGTCTTTATCGGCATGAGATTGGTCGCCCCCAAAATGCCCAGCTCCAATGAGCCGATCGGCGGCTTCCAAAGCTGCTTAGCCGAGGCCCGCGAGTCGCTAACCAAATGAGGCGGCTCATCTAACACGTGGTAACCACCCTCTAAGCAAGCTCGCACGTGTATACGGCCTGCATATGCCTTATTCTCATCTGAGCCAAGGTTATACCTAATATTCAGAAAACCAATGTTAGTTTCCAAGGTTCAAACTGCAAAAACCAATGGAGAGTCCACATGGAGACCTGCCAATACCGTAATATAATGTTTCTGGGTGTTTTAACACCAACATTGATGTGAATAATCAGGGAAAACAGAAAAAAGGCACAATATAGGTACACAATGGGTAATTTTTGAAAAAACGAATAAAATAAACAATTAAAGAACCTATTTCACATACAAGGTTTCCCAACATTGACCGTTATTTTCATTTTTACTGCCTTTTTTTTCCGAAGACACACGGTGCCCCGCATGAGCATAAGAGCCATTCTCAGTTAGAAGTGGACAATTTTATGACTCCCACTCTCTCAAAGTCACAAAAACATGAAAAAAAAAGAAAAAAGTAAAAACGAAGGAAATACCAGTAACTTAATTTACATATTACGGATGATCATTAAAAATAACAAAGACAACAGGGCTTCAAACAACGGAATCATGAATAAAAAGAGAAAAAAAAAACAAAAAAACAAAAAAAAATTGTTTTAAACAACAGTATAACGGATGTGCTTTGAAAACAACGAGGATGACAGGGCTTAAAAAAAAAACCACAATTAGAATAACATGAATCAAAAGCAAAAATACGAAACAACAAAAATTGTTGTAAATAACAGCATAACGGATGTGCTTTGAAAGTAACAAAAGCAACGGGGTTTAAAACAAAAATAACGGATTCAAGTTGCTCACCATTTCGACTTGGGCTCTTCCCGCTCGTCGATCCTCCTATCAAGGCTCGCCACGTGGATCTTGGCCTTCCCAACCTGCTGCCCGCTAGGTTGGTCCTCCACGCCGACTACCAAAAACGGCTCAAACGGCTCGGCTGCAATAAAAATCAAGTCTTCATTCCAGCTTGGGTTCGGCGCGTTAGCCGACAAGCCGACACTCTTAACCGTCTTCAGAACTTGGGGACCTAGCTGGGCCCGAACGTAAAGCTCAGGGGCCCGGGCCTTTGGTTCGGGCGTGCTGGGGAACTGAAGGTCCTGGGTTTGGATGACCGTTAGGCGGAGGTACCACAGCTTCGGAGCGAGGTAGACCTTGGCTCGGGTATGCACCAGGAGGCCGCCGGAATCCGATTGCCAAGCAGCCGGGAATGCCTCGTCCGCCTGAGTCCCATACCAAACAGCGAGCATGACATCATTTCCTGGCAAGGCGACGTCACCTTCCGGAAGCCCTCCTTCGAGCGTGTACCACTGAGGGGCCAAAGGGCTATCAGGAGGAACCCTCTTCGGAATCTCTTGCAGATCGAACGACACCGTACCCAGGCAGGTGTCGGTGGCTGGAGGAGTGTCCTTGGGTGTGTCAGCCGCTGCGTCGGGCTTCTTCTCTTCGTGTACCGAGACCTCGAGGCTCGCCGAGTTGAGCTTCTCTTTCTGGAAGGCGAATACCTGATCCCACTCCGTGTTTTGCACGGTTCGAGTGCTTACACTTTGAGTACCTATGCCCAGCTTAGCATACAGACACGGTGTCGAGCCATTGTCTGCAGTCCTCTTCGCCTTTACGACACGCACGTATAGATACGGCATGCGCTCTACAAGATCGTATGCACCCCTCACACCGTCTCCTATAATTCGAGTCTGTAAGGTGTTCACGCCGGATACCGTTTTCGTGGTGGCCAAAACTTTCTGACTTGCATTTTCTGGCGACTTTTCTGGTGGCTTTTCATGCGGTTTTTCTTCCTCCTTCTTTGAATCTTCGGCCTCTGGCGCCGGCTTCTCGCTGGGATCTTTGTTTTCCGGTGGCTTTTCCTCTTCTTTGGCTGGGGGTGCCTCCTCTGTCTTTGCTTTTTCCTGTGGTTTCTCCTCTTCTTTGGCCGGTTCTGGAGCATTTTCTGGCGGTTTCTCTTCTGGATTGGACGGAGCTGGAGCCTTTTCTGGCGGCTCCTCATCTATGTAGTAGACCTTTAACCCTAACTCACCTTTGATCTGAGAGAAAACGCTGCGTTTCTCTAAGGGAAAGTAGGTGAAACTTTCAGATCCAATTTTAGGGAAAGAATTACCTGAAAGCTTGACCTTCCCTAGAAATGTGCTTCGTTTTCCGGTCTTCTTGTCGTTGTAGATGTTGAGTTCTAGGGTTTCAGAGGCCATAGATTCGGGATCGTTTACGAGGAACTCGAGCTTCTCATCCCATTGAGGGTTGAGCTCTCTGAACTTCGTTTTAGTGCGTCTTCTCTGGCCATCGAAGTCCACCTGAACATAAGGGCTCGAGGTTCCTTGACCGTCTTTCGGCATCAGGTTTCTAGCTTGACTTATTTCCACCACAAGTTTCCGGTGACTGCCTTCCGCCATCTTGTCTGGCCAAATTTGCAGGTTTCTGATTAAAATAGTGATTTCTGGCGAAGAACAGTAGGTTTCCGGCCAAAAATATCAGGTTTTCTGGTCTGAAGGATTGTTTCAGATCAAATCGGAAGTTTTGGATAGAAATATTAGCACATTAACTTTCCAGATAACATTGAATTGACGATTTACTAATTAAACTTCAAATTTTCTCGTCAATAGAGCGATTTCCAGCAGAACTCCGGAAAAAAAAACAAAAAAACAAAAACCCCAGTTTTAAGTCAGAAATCGCTGATTTTCTATCTTCAAATGATCAATTCAATCCAAAATACAAACTTTTTTTTGTGTTGCATTCAAAACACAACTTTCAGGCCAAGAAAGTGAGAGTTTCCAACCAAAATCAGAACTTTTGGGCGAAAAATGAAAATTTCCTGCTAAAACCTCAAACTTACAAACTCGGGCAAATTTTGAAATTTTCCGGCTTAAAAGCATGGGCTCTGAAATTTTCCGGCCAAAAGAAAAGCAGTTTTAACGGCTAGGGTGGCCCCTACCTCGAGTTGCTTTCCGGCTAAAGCTTCAAACTTTTGACTTAGACTCCGGCAAAGACCGAAAGTTTCCGGCCAATAACCACCGGCTAAGAATTTTCCCGGCCAAAAGTGAAGCAGCTTTAACGGCTCGGCGGCCACGAACTCAAATGGCTTTGAACTTGCATATTTTCCGGCATCAATAAATTATTTCCGGCCGGAGAAAAAGGAGAACTTTGAATACCGTTATCGGCGCAAAGGAGAGTTCAATTTTTCGACGTTAATGATCTGAAAACTCAACCAGTGTTTTTCAAGACTTAAGGGGCCACGCCTTATAAGGTGGAATGGGGAGGTGCCACATGGCGTGCCATGTCATAGCACCACGTAGGAATGTGGTGGGGACCATTGTTTTGCGGGCCCGGCAGCGTTGTTTGTCTGAGCGAGACAGGCGCTGGTGCAAATTTGGTGTGATTTGGAGGCTGGGAAGGTGTGAATGCAGATGACCGTTTGAGGGGTAAGTACTCTCTCTCTCTCTCCTCTACTCTTTTTCTCACCTCATTTTTTCATCTCTCCCTTACGGTGTAATAATAAGGAAAAACAGATGCACCTCAAAAATCAGATCAAAACGGTTGTTTTAATGTTGAGAATTCTTTAGTTTTTTTTTTTGGTTAAATCAGTGGGGACAAACCTCTACCCTATTTTTTTTTTAATTACTGAATCATAAAAATATTACATGTACAAACTTCAACCTGCCCTTTGAAGGGGGACGTCATGCGACACTAGGGGCCTATAAAATCTGTGGGGATTGGGGTAAAGGGGCTCTCTACTAACCATTTTAACTTGAGGTTGGTGGTGACGTTGTTTTTAGATGAATGGAAAATCCAATCCGACCTTTTTGAAAATTTTTTCAATTGATCGTCTCGACATCGAGATGTATGTATATGAAAAAAATAAATAAATGAGTCCCAAAAATAGTACTTCTTGTAACACATTATCTAGATCGTCAATTTTCAAGATTTTTATATGTTTATAGATCTACTTGATTTTAACCATTTTTTGGAGTTTAAAATTTTATAATTAGATATAAAAATAGATTTTCAGATAATCTTAAGATTTTTTAAAATCAAAATTACATATTATGATAAAATTTGGAGGTGTGCCTCGATTTGGATTGTTTAGGGTTGCAATCTTATATAAATCTTCCATCTCTTTCTTGATGGACACTTTCAATAGGGCTTCAAAGTACGTAAAGTTTCACTTTGAATCTCATAAAAAAGTTGCAGTTTTGGTGTTGGAAAACCTTCAAATCGATAATCTTATCCTTAACCATTATAATTGTGAAAAAAAGAGATTTAAAACAATAAAATAATATATATTATAATATATTATCTAGACCATATATTTTGCCCTAAAAATAATTATTCATGGGTATGCAAAATTTGTATTGCTTTTGGAGCTTAGGAAATTGATTCTAGGGCCAGGAGATTTCTCATGCCAAAGTGCTTTCCATGTGAGGATTTGAGGTGAGGATTTACTTTATTTTTATAAAGCCTAGGGTCCATAAAAACTGCATCTATTTATTCCTTTGGGCAAAACCCAATTTAAGAGCATATCGTCTATTTACTCCAACAAGACCTCAAGTTTCAATTTAAGAGAATATGGTCTATTTACTCCAACAAGACCTCAAGTTTTGGAGATTTAACTTTCTTGACTCGGACTAATCTCAATAAAAATCTTTAAATAGCACTTTCTATGCACTTGAAAAAAATAATATCTACTTTTGACAGTGAGATCTAAGTGTTGAAGAACTCAAAATCAATTTTTTTTTTTTAAATAATCATTTACAGTAAAATTTCATATAAAAAATGTCCTACATAGTAAGTGCACAATATGCTCCCATGGGAACATATTATATAGTCATAATTAACTATGATGTCCTTGAGGGTATTCTTCAATAAAAAAATTTCTCCCCTATCTCTATTTGTGTGGCATGCTTGATCCCCTGGTCATAATGATTTTTCGGGTCAGAACTACAAAGATGGAGATCTTAAAAGCCTGCCAAAAAAAAAAGAAAATAAAAAAAGAAGGAAATGTTAAACACTCATGCACCCTTCCCTTATCCAAAATGGCCACTGGGATCTAACATATGGCAAAGCTTTCTATGTTTTCCCTACAACATAAAAATTCTATCCTCCCCTTAATCCCACCGATCATTTTTTAATGGAGGGTTAAGATCACCCCAATCACAATGTCATGTCTCTACATTATTTTGTTTTTACTTTTTTTTTTCTATAAACTATTGTGACTCCACATTATGGACATCTATTACTTTATTAAACTCGCACTAATGAAAAATATAAAAAAAAATATTTTCAATAAATTAAATTGATAAAAATACTCTTGAAAGTTTCAAGGGGTATTTTGGTCTTTATTTTTATCGAAAAATTATTGTTAATATTTTTTATAGGTGCGCTCCAATGAGAAGATGACACGTACCAAATTTCATATTCAGAAAAATTGTATTAGAAAAACTAAAAATAAAATACTTTGAGACGTCGGCTCTAAGATCAAACGGTGAGTAGCTCTCCTAATAAAAAATGGACGGCTCGATGGTAGGGGGATGATAGAACTTCTATATTATAGGGGAAACATAGAAAGCTTTCCCTTAACATATTCGTTGTGACTGTATTTGTTTTTTCTTTTGCCAAAAGTATTACGCTCCCCAAGTGTATATTGTCCATTTACTCCTTTGGATAAACCCCTCCTCGTATTAATTTAAGGACCCCAAAACCTATTCAACCCCCAATTAATCTAAAAAAAATTATATCTTAAACGCACCTAACGCATTGGAAAAATAATAATGTCTCATGATTGAATAGAGACCGTCCAATCTCAAAGTTCATTTTTTTTTTTTGAAAAAAAGTCATCAAATGATTTTTAGGTGGTTCATTAAAAAGAAAATCCTATAGGTCATCCAACCGAGGGAGTACTCTAGGGGAACATAGTATGCGTTTTGGGGTATTGCATTTTTAAGGTACGGATAATGAAGAGTTTCAGATGAACCATGGGACAACGGCACACCACTAATTTAAGGCTTAGAATATATGTTTTAAAGACACTGACACTAGCATCTGACTTGAGCTTGTAAAAAATGTCAGCATTAAATTTTGCCTTTAAGAAGAGGCAAGATATAGGATTTTAATGGACGTCAAAAGTCACATATTTCAATTTCAACAAATACAAATTAGCAAAATAATCCAATTTTGTTAAATAAAATTTATCAAAATAAGCTGGAGTGATGGACTATTCAACACCCTACCTAATTTATTTTGATTTACAATAAGCTTATCAAAATATACGTGATCATGAGTTGAAATAGTTAAAAACTGATAACATGTTAATAGTTGATAAACTAAGTGAAGTTTAATAAATTTTATTTTACTAACCTATGAGACATGAGTGTCACGTTCATATAATGCTAACACTCAACCCAAACCTTGGAGATTCATTACAGTATTGAATGGAGACCAATGTATAAGCAAAATTATAAGGCGTGTGGTTTGTATAAGGCTTAGGCCTGGACAATCAAATTATCGCGCTTTATGAAACACCCGCGTAGGATTTCACATCCAATGGTTACATGTTAGTGATATAAATAGTATTATAGTATACAGTCTATAAATTATATACATTTGGAGACTTATTTGAAGTTTCAACTTGTGAATGCTCATCTTAAGTGGTTGTGAACTTATGACACACTAAAACAAGCGAGTTGGAGAGTAGGAATTCATTGTTTAGTGAAATAGGGGTCAATTATAAAATGAGATGGCGTTTTACTCAAATTATGGGCGGTATCCCTTTTTTGTTATTTGAAATACCGAACAATTATCTGGTATCCCAAACCCATTATCCTAAATATTGTGACTAAAATAACCGCTTTTAACTCTTCTCCCTTATGTTCTCTCTCCTCCCAAACCATCTCTCATTCTCTCTCCGTAACCCATCTCTCTCCGCTATCTTTAATGGGAATCTGCCGTGGAAGATATGGAGCAGAAATTTCCAGCAAAGGAAATGATGGACCTTCTCTTGCTCTATAAAACCTTCATGAGCGTCTTGCGCTGAAGCCTTATCATTGTTTTTGTTTCTTTTACGGTGTTTTTCTTCTAGAGAAGAGGGAAGGGAGATTTTCTTATGGTTTTAGAGAGAAAAAAGGGGTTGAATACAAGAGAGAGAAGGGGGAAATGAGATGGGCTGATCTCTAATGGATTCTCATCGATGGCCCGAGGATTTGTAGAGGGAAAAAGAAGAGAGAGAGAAGAAAGAGGGGATTTTGGGATGGAAGTGCAAAAACCCATCGATGGCATGAGGATTTGCTAGGCAGAAAGAAGAGAAAGAGGAAAGAGAAGATTTCGGAATGGAAGTGCAAAAACCCTAAATGCTAAAAAACTTAAAGGAAGGGAAGTGTCCAGTATTTTGACTATTGAATAGCTGTTTTGCTTTGTATGATATAAACTCTATCTGTAAGATGTTCGCGTTACCGGATTAATTTAATAAAAGAACCCCGCGAAGAGAGTGCTGTCTGTAATTTGAGACAAATGTGATCTTATTTTATAATTAAACCCCCGAATACAGTCCATAAGTAAATTTCTCAAAAAGCTAACAACCAACTTGCTCGTTTTGATTTTTCTATTGGGTTATTGCGTCCGCAGCATTTGGACGCTTAGAAGGTGCCACAAGCACTTTTTACTGGTTTGGATTTAACCGGTCTCATCCGTGGACCAAATATGAGCCTCGTTTTTATTTTAATTTTTTACCTAAAAATGATATCAATGTGAAATTTCGGTTTTAGTTTCATTTCTATAAATAGAATCAGAAAAAAATACAATAAAATTTTGAATAGAAAATACGGATCAAAATAAAATTAGGGGTATTATAATTGTTTTTATTTAAAATATTTTTAATTATTATTTTTAGTTCTCTTAATAAAAATAAACCTTCATCCAAAAATTCAGATA